GGCTTTAGATATTTTCCTCCTCAGTACATTCCTTAAATTCCTTAAAGTTAGGTACTTCTCAAACTTCTGTCCTTGGATTTCTTTCTTTTTTTTTAATTTAAATTCAATTAATTCACATATAATGCACTGTTGGTTTCAGAGGTAGAGGTGAGTGACTTATCAGTTTTATATAACACCCAGTGCTCATTACATCGCATTCCTTCCTTAATGTCTATCACCCAGTTACTCCAGCCCCCCACATCCCATCCCTCCAGCAAACCCTAAGTTTGTTTCCTATGATTGAGTCTCTTATGGTTTGTTTCCCTCTCTAGTTTCATCTTGTTTTATTTTTTCCTCTCCCCCATGACCCTGTTTTAAAGAGATGTTGAACTAATGAGAGCAATGCAAATAACTAGTTTGACAAAACAAAAACAAAACCACACATATCATACATACGATGATACAGTGTTATCATTTGTGGGTAAACTTACAAATGCAAAAATGTACAAGGAAAACAAAATACAGTCTTTTGTCATTGAAGGGTGTGAGTAATTGGCCTTCATTAAGCTGGTAACAGGGACATGTCAACAAACACTGGAAAGTTTAAACAAACTGCATTAATGATAAAGCTATTAGACTGACTTAACCATGTTGTTCAAACTTCTAAAATACACATTATGAATTATTTAATACACATGTTCCTGTCCTGTCCTATTCCTCAAAGCTTCAGGTGATATAGTCTTTAGTAGTTAAGTTGTGAAACAGGTTGATTCATGAAGGTTACATTGTAGAAGTTAATCCTTTGGGATCTCACTTCAGAACAGATATTTTGTAATTATCAGGTATAACCTATGCTTCCATCAGTGAAGACCTCTCGTCCTCCTAAGGTGGACTTAGATATCCAATGAAAGTCTATGTAAGGTTACACCTTGAACATGTGTTATGAACCAGCCAACATAAATGCATTTGTATCGCCATGCAGTACAAAATGGTTATCCTATCGTCTCTGATTTGTGGATCAACTGCAGACAAGTTAAGTGACTTGCACAACATCATACAGCTAGTAAGTGGCACAGTCCAGGTACAAGCTCAGCAGATGGGATTCCCAATTCCATATTCTGGTTTTCGCACTACAGAATTCCATGTGTTGAAATTTCCTTATGTTGATACTTAAGCAATCACACCACATGCTTTTTTTTTTTTTTTTTAAGATTTTATTTAGTTATTTGACACAGAGAGAGCACACAAGTAGGGAGAACAGCAGGCAGAGGGGGAGGGAGAAGTAGCCTTCCCCGATGAGCAGGGAGCCTGTTGCGGGGCTTGATCCTGAGATCCTGAGATTATGACCTGAGCTGAAGGCAGACGCTCAATGACTGAGCCATCCAGGCACCCCACAACACGTGCTTTTTAAAGAAGAGTAAGTAAATATAAGATTTGTGCCTAACCTATCCAAGGTTTTAGGACCATATATTATGTCTGTCATTTCTATAATAAACTTTGAAATCATTTGGGCTTTAATAGAAAGCTTCTTTAAAGATCCTGATTTATTTGGGAAGATGGAATTGTCATAAATGTACTTAAAATTTGTAACTATGAAAATATTGTACTACATACATTTTCGTAGACAAAACTAAGATAATTTAATTAGAGGTGCCTTTGATTCGTTAGTTACCAATTCAAACATGGTATTTTACCTAATGCAATCTATTGTAAACAGGTGGCTGTTTAGAACATTCTCAGAGTTGACCATAGTTATTTCTTTTTCTTTTTTTTTTCTTTTTTTTAGATTTTATTTATTTGAAAGAGAGAGAGAGAAAATGAGAGAAAGAAGGAGCATGAGAAGGGGGAGGGTCAGAGGGAGAAGCAGACTCCCTGCCAAGCAGGAAGCCTGATGCGGAACTCTATCCCGGAACTCCAGGATCATGACCTGAGCCCAAGGCAGTTGCTTAACCAACTGAGCCACCCAGGCACCCCAGTTGTTTATTTTTCTTGTGTTTTTTTTCCCCTTTTTTCCTCCTTTTGCATTTCTTAAATTAAAAAAAAAATTGAAAACCATAAAAGGCAGAGCAGAAATATTGCATTATCCCCAATAAAACTTTCCCTGGGATAAGACTTACTCGGTGTAAGATTCTTCACTAATCTTACAATGGCTGCTCCTTAAAGAACCGGCATAATTTCTGTTGTGTGTGGGATTTTCAGAGCATTTCTAATGAATTCAGAGCATCATCTAATCACGGAAAGAATACTTCTTCGCACCCTGGAGGTCGATGTTCTCTGGCTTCTAAAAATACCTAAACTTGTTTTTGTTCATTTGTTTCTTATGTGGCACCTCCATTTTGGCATATCCTCTTGGCATTATCCCTATAGAGAACTTCCTGGAAAGCAAATCATTTTGTTGTGAATGGAAATGCTTTTGTCTGGCTTCCAGGTCATGCTTTAAACTCAGAACACATGGCAGAACTAAGCAGACTATGTGAGAACGCCCAGTTATTAAACTCATGAGAATTTTTTTTTTTTGGTGTTTTTTTGTTTGTTGCTTGTTTTTAAATGATGCAAAGTACTCAAGTTGCAAGTAGGACTAGTTTACATGAAAGTCCAGTGATGTTGATTTTTGGCCAGAACTTGGAGTAGCTGGGAAAAATATCAAGAAAAAACAACTCTTATCAAAAGGCAAATTAGTTTTTGAAGCTGGTGTTAATTGGCAGCCAAGGTGTTTCATTATGAAGCTGAATTTTTAACAGTTGTGAGTCGGTTACTATGAAAACACCAGCCAGAAGAAAACACGGCAGTGCGATGGGTATTTCTTCAAACTCTCCTAATCCTTCTGCCAATGTGTCAATAAGACAAGGCTTGTTTTAAAACACCCATGCACTGCCTAGAAATTGCCTGTGTTGGCTGTTTTATTCAAATTTTTTCTTGATTGGATGTATATTTCATAATCAATGGATTCAGGGATGATCACTTTCAAACTGCAGGTGTTATATTTTTTCTATTTTGCAATTCTGTGTTTGAATGAAACCTTAAGAAGACCTTATTGGGAGAACCGTTTTTTTGTTTTGTTTTGTTTTGTTTTCCTTTGTAACCTAGAGCATAAACCTAACCACAGGAAATATATAAATTGTAACTAGGGAGATGATTCTTTTGGAGGAAGCAATGAGAACTGTGGCTTTTTATCTCTATGTGTACCTACTGCTGATTTTTTTTTTTAAAGGAAAACACCTGAGGGCCACAGGTAGCAAGTTCCAACTGTTTATTCCCTTCCCTAATACTAGACAGCATGAAGAAGGTTTTTCTTCACACATAACATATCCCAAGCCCCTGGAAGTATGTATGCTTTGATATTTTTCCCATTCTGACATTTTCCCAGCTGGCTAAGAAAAAAAGTTGGTTTGTTCAGTGAGTCCTCAACTTATAGGCAACAAATTCTTTTTTTTTCGTTTTTGTTTTTTTGTTTTTTGTTTTTTTTTAATTTTATTTTTTATAAACATATATCTTTTTCCCCAGGGGTACAGGTCTGTGAATCACCAGGTTTACACACTTCACAGCACTCACCATAGCACATACCCTCCCCAATGTCCATAACCCCACCCCCCCTCTCCCAACCCCCCCCCCCCCTGCAACCTTCAGGTTGTTTTGTGAGATTAAGAGTCACTTATGGTTTATCTCCCTCCCAATCCCATCTTGCTTCATTTACTCTTCTCCTACCCCCTTAACCCCCCATGTTGCATCTCCACTTCCTCATATCAGGGAGATCATATGATAGTTGTCTTTCTCCGATTGACTTATTTCGCTAAGCATGATACCCTCTAGTTCCATCCACGTCGTCGCAAATGGCAAGATTTCATTTCTTTTAATGGCTGCATAGTATTCCATTGTGTATATATACCACATCTTCTTTATCCATTCGTCTGTTGATGGACATCTAGGTTCTTTCCATAGTTTGGCTATTGTAGACATTGCTGCTATAAACATTCGGGTGCATGTGCCCCTTCGGATCACTACGTTTGTATCTTTAGGGTAAATACCCAGCAGTGCAATTGCTGGGTCTAGGGTAGCTCTATTTTCAACATTTTGAGGAACCTCCATGCTGTTTTCCAGAGTGGTTGCACCAGCTTGCATTCCCACCAACAGTGTAGGAGGGTTCCCCTTTCTCTGCATCCTCGCCAGCATCTGTCATTTCCTGACTTGTTCATTTTAGCCATTCTGACTGGTGTGAGGTGGTATCTCATTGTGGTTTTGATTTGTATTTCCCTGATGCTGAGTGATATGGAGCACTTTTTCATGTGTCTGTTGGCCATCTGGATGTCTTCTTTGCAGAAATGTCTGTTCATGTCTTCTGCCCATTTCTTGATTGGATTATTTGTTCTTTGGGTGTGGAGTTTGCTAAGTTCTTTATAGATTCTGGACACTAGCCCTTTATCTGATATGTCGTTTGCAAATATCTTCTCCCATTCTGTCAGTTGTCTTTTGGTTTTGTTAACTGTTTCCTTTGCTGTGCAAAAGCTTTTGATCTTGATGAAGTCCCAATAGTTCATTTTTGCCCTTGCTTCCCTTAGGCAACAAATTCTTGTATTGTCCTGTCTGTTGTCATCCCTTTAACCTCTGCTGCATTCAGCATTTAGTTTTATGGTGATATGTAGGGGGAAAAATGATTTTTTGTGGGTGATATGATAAAAGTGTTGGCTTAAATTACTTGCCAGCAGTTCCACAGCCAAATAATTTAATTATGTGATTATAGTCTTATTGAAGCCTTTGCTATTGATTCTAAGAAGCAAGCATGGATCTATTTGTTGTCCTTCAAAACAAAAGCTGGTTTTTCTCTTGCCTTGCAGTCTCAGCTAGGGCTTTAACAGAGCACAATAATGAATGCTTCTGCTGCAGCAAGTCACAGGGGAGGCTAGGACAATACTGAACTCATGCACACTGCTGATCCTTGCTTGCTGAGCAACATGTACACCTGGATTTCTGACAGCTCTGTGAGTTCACTAGAGACCTCTGTCATTTTGTTCATCCTCTTGTAGGCGATGGTCGAGACAGTTAACAACCTTCTCCAGCCACAAGCCTCAAATGCGTGGAGAGACCTGACTACAAGCGATCAGCTACGGGCAGCGACCATGTTGCTTGACACTGTGGAGGAAAGTGCTTTTGTCCTGGCCGATAACCTTTTGAAGACTGACATTGTCAGGGAGAACACAGACAATATTCGTAAGTGGCCTTTGTTATACAGAAGGACCAGAGACCCTTGGACAGCAGAAGAGAGAAAGAAAAAAATTTCTGTGGTAGTGCAGGTATTATGAATGACTTTTATTTCAGTGGAGATAAGTGATTTTTTTTTTCTATAATTAGAAGGATATCACCTGCCATTGGCTTAAAAGAGTCATTCCTCATAAGCATGTGTGTTACCCTCCTTAGGGTATCCCAATATTGGATATATTAGCCTGAGATCACTCACAGTTAGGTCCTTTAGTTAGCTAATTAGTCTTTTATGTCCGTGTGTATCAATGTCTGCATTGTACTATTTAAAATTTATCCTCCTAACAGTGCCTATGGGTCATGTCAGTTATGGTAAGAATATCTCTGAATTATGTATTATAAAAAATCACTCATTTAAGTGAAGGTGATAAAGCAGTGCTTTTTTGTAATTGTGTTATTGGCTCATAAGGAGTATAAATCTATTTTTATTGTGCATAAGGATGTAGCTAACAGTTTTATTTCAGAAGATTTGATAAAGCTATTTCAAACTTATTAGATTTAAAGATCGATCAATATTGATATAATAGTGCAGCTCTAGATTATAAAGAGACTTTTACTTAATTCACAAAAGAAAGATAATATTTTGAAGATATAGTAACAATATTTTGAAGATATAGTAACAAAGTTGACAAAGCATAAGGATTTGAGCTTGATTTTAGGCTTTATAATTGATATATTTGTGTTCTATTTACCTATTTAATAGTTTTTGTCTTATTTTAAAAATAAAGTACTAAAGAAATACTTTTGAAATGAAACATTGAACCACTATTCATTTTGACTACTATAAATTAGTAGAACATTAATTCTGGTATTTTGATTTCAGAAATACTTCAGTAATTTAGGAAGTCATCTTAGCTTTGGTGTATTTCTCAATGAGCACTGATAACTCTTTGCCATTAACAGAGTTGGAAGTTGCAAGGCTGAGCACGGAAGGAAATTTAGAAGACCTAAAATTTCCAGAAAACATGGGTCACGGAAGCACTATCCAGCTCTCCGCAAATACTTTAAAACAAAATGGTCGAAACGGTAGGTTAGAGTTTATTTGTTAAGCATGGTGAGATTGAACTCATCATCAATGCTTTGTTTCTTGGCTTGGGGGTTTAGATCTGCTATCCAAAAGCTCTCTTACTCTCACTCCACTATTCTCTCTTTCCTCTCCCTCCTCTTTCCTATCTTATGCACCAACAACATTGCAATGTATTTGCTCTATAAAATTCTCAGATTTGGAAATTGTTCTGTGCATTTTCAGTTGCAGTACAATGTCAGAAACTTGAATCTGAGAGGAATTAATGAACGACAAAATCCAGATATCTGACTTTTATTCTTGAAAGGAGTAACTCTTACTGAGTTGACAGATTTTGTTTCTAAAATTTTTAATGGAAATTTTACTTCTAATTTTAAAGTTGTATTGTTTTCCTTATTCACTAGTTTTGAAAGTGTTTCTGTAGTTTCTTTTGAAAAGCATGCAGAAAATTTAAAATGTGAGAAGATGAGTTGGGGGAAAGGTACTGGTCAATATAGGTCAGTTTGATACTAGATTAAATTCACTGAATATAATGAGAATTAAAATCATAGAGAAAATATGTCTCAAGTTGTCACTGTGTTAATTTTCTTTAAAGATTTTATTTATTTATTTGTCAGAGAGAGAGAGAGAGAGAGAGCACAAGCAGGGGGGCAGTAGGCAGAGGGAGAACCAGGTTCTCTATCGAGTAAGGAGCCCCATGTGGGACTCCATCCCAGGACCCTAGGATCATGACCTGAACTAAAGGCAAACACTTAACCGACTGAGCCACCCAGGTGTCCCTAGTATTAAATTTTTAAAAACATACTTTTTGCCAACTAAATGAGACCTTTGACCTGTTAGATGATGGGAAGATGACCTCAGGCTGTAGCAACCAACTCAGAGGTGGCATTTCATGGTGCAGGGTGCATAGTTTTAAAGAAAGAAAAGCCTGTTGAATAATACCAAGACAAAACAAATTATGGCTGTTGTCAACAGAACAGAATTCTTTTAAGGTTGGAAATCGTATAAGTGACCTTCTAAGTCATTATATTGCTAATTTGACTATATGAATTTTGAGGCTACAGTAAGATTTTCTACGAAGCAAAATCAGATTTCTGTATTAGCTTTCCAGCTGGCTTCCCTCTCTCTACTTTTCCTGCCTCCCGACAGACTATCCTGTTGACAAGGATCTTCTGGAAATGTAAATCTGACCAGTTTGCTTCCAATTGCGTTCAGAACAAAATCAGAGGATTTCACTAGGCCACCAAGTGCTTGTCCGCTTCTTTCCTGCCTCATCTGCCCTACTTCCTGTCTGTCTTTAACCTGCTATCTATGACTCAGACAGTCTAGTCTTGATCCTTTTTCTTTTTTATTGAGCTAGAAGTGACATGGGACTTTATATTCGTTTCAGGAGTACAATATAATGATTCGATATTTGTATATATTGTAAAATCATCACCACAGTAAGTTTAGTTCACACTTATCACCACATAGTTTTATTTTTTTTCTTGTGATGAGACCTTTTAAGATTGAACTCCTCAGCAACTTTCAAAATATATAATACAGTATTATTAACTTACAGTCACTATGCCACATGTTACATCCCCATGACATTTATTTATAACTGGAAGTTTGTACTTATTGACCTTTTTCACCCATTTTGCCTATCCACCGCCCCCTGCAGTGGCAGCCACCAACCAGTCTGTTCTCTGTATCTATGAATTTAGTTTATTTTATTTATTTTTTTAGGATTCCATATATAAGTGAGAATATATAATACTTATCTTTCCCTGTTTGACATATTTCACTTAGCATAATGCCCTCAAGGTCGATTCATGTTATCATAAATAATAAGATATCATTCTTTGTTAATGGCTGAGTAATATTCCATTTTTTTCATCCATTCCCTTATCAGTGGACACTAAGTGTGTTTACATATCTTAACTCTTTTGAATAATGCTACAATGAACATGGGGTACAGAGATCTTTTTGTGTTAGTGTGTTTGTTTACTTCAGATAAAAACCCAGAAGTGGAATTACTGGATCATATGGTAGTTTTATTTTTAATTTTTGGGGGCACCTCCACAGTGTTTTCCACAGTGGTGTACCAGTTTACATTCCCACCAACAGTGCACAAGGATTCTCTCTGATCTAGTCTTGAATACACCAAGAGTGTTTCTGTGTCAGATTTTTGCATTTTGTTTTCTTCCTGGAATGTAGTTTTTACATTTCTTTACATAGAAGCTTTTCTATCATTTACTGTTCAGTATAAATCTTACCTCTTTAGGAAGGGAAGTTTTTCTCTGTCTCCCTGAAGGTACACCATTCTTTCCTAATTGCTCTTTTCCCATTAGCCACTTTATATTATTGCTTCCTCATGGTGATTATTCACTTAACATCATATGAAATATTATTATTATTATTTTTAAGTTGCCTGCTTATTATCTGACTTTCCTTCTAAGTGGTAAGCTCATGAGAACAGGGATCTCTTCTTACTTGTCATCTGTTATATGTAACCCTTGTGCCTGGCACATGGATAAACTCTCTAAGAATTTCTCAAATAAGTGTATGAACTTGCAGATATAAAGCTATTGGCAATCAAAATATGGTTATATTAGTCATATTTTGTTTTATACTCATTTATTTTATTTTCTAAAGTAGTGTGTGTGAGTGTGTGTGTTAGGTCACATTTAAGCATTAATTTTGGAGTGCAGAATCTGTAACAATTATACATAACTAAATGCATTGATAAAACAAGGGGGGGTATCAACATGACAATGTCCTGTAGGTGGAAATTGGTAGGAATTATCAACTGGCTATCAACCACTTAAAATAAAAGTTGTTACTGTCAACAAGGGGGATGGGGGGAGAAAGATGTTCTTCTGAAGTGTAACCTTCCAAAACTTAGTATTTTCATATTAAATCTAGAGAAAAGCACTAAAATTAAATGCTGTGTTATAACAGACAAGAAATATTTAGTGAATTACTGCTCTTTCCTGAGTACATGTTAACAGATGTGGATTGGAAATTTAAAAACGGCTCTTTCCTTTGTGTAGCTCTTATAATCTCGTTGCTAAATTACTGAAGGGCTATGGGTATCTCATAGGATCAATGAGAAGGCTGGAGAACTGGGTCCAGAAAACCAGCAAGAGCTAGGAGGCTGACAGCAGCCCATAGCATCACACGGAGTTATTGCTTGCAATGTCACGGCTGCCACAAATGAGGCGTAAGTGAAGGCGGCTGCTGCTGCATCACCTCCCGCTTCCTTGTGTCACCAGCTCCTCATCTGAAGTCAGAGACAAGTGCAGATGATGGGAGGCATCGAGCTCTGGTGTCCAGAGCAACCTCTTTGCAAAACAGGCTGGGAAAGCCAATGTGCATCCATTTTGTGTCTATAAATCCCCAATAATTGGGAATTTTCCAAACATGGGAGCACAGTTTAGATGTTGGACAGTCCCCTCCCTCCTCAAAAGAAGTCTATTAAAATTTCCTTGTTCTTATTCCCACTTGACTCTAAGATTCAGGGATAAGGATTGAGACTTCTGTGATAGTCAGGACAGTGCCTATCTGGACAGCAGCTATCAGGACTGAGCCAATATAAATTCATACTGGAAGTAAGACATAGGGCTTGATGTATTTTTTTTTTTATTTTTTTAAAGATTTTATTTATTTATTTGACAGACAGAGGTCACAAGTAGGCAGAGAGGCAGGCAGAGAGAGAGGAGGAAGCAGGCTCCCTGCTGAGCAGAGAGCCCGATGTGGGTCTCAATCCCAGGACCCTGGGATCATGACCTGAGCCGAAGGCAGAGGCTTTAACCCACTGAGCCACCCAGGCGCCCCGGGCTTGATGTATTTTAAGAAAGAAAATGATATGATCAGAAACATGTCACCTGCGTGGCTCAGTCACTTAAGCATCCGCCTTCAGCTCAGGTCATGATCCCAGGACCAGGGATGGAGCCCCGCATTGGACTCCCTGCTCAGCAGGGTTCTGCTCCTCCCTCTCCCTCTGCCCTTCCTCCCCTTGTTAAAAGAAGGTTGATTCTACAGAAGATTGCTGGTGGGAGATAGTCATAAGAGAAAAAAATAAGGTGGAAGGATATATGGAGAAAGTGACTTTCAAAGAACATGGTAATTGTGTTCAAAAACAGATAAGGATTTTGAGTCCTTCTTATGGTTGTTTTCACTGCAATTGAAATATAATTCACATAAAATAAAATGCATATCGCTTAAGAATGTAGCTTGATGAACCTGACAGTTGTACATTCCTCTGTAATATTACCTAAAATAAGATATAAATCTCTTCTATTACTCGGAAATTGTTACCGGTTTCCAGTCTTCTTACCACCTCTCCTCATCTGATGCAACTACTCTCATTACGATCCCTATAGACAAATATCACCTGTTCTTAGACTTCACACAAGTGGAATCATATAGTATGAGCTCTTTTCTGTCTGTGTTCTTTAACCAAACACAGTATTTTGGGGATTCTGTCATCATGCTCTAATGGTAGTTTCTTCTTTGTTCTATCAGTTGTTCTTCATTGATGCACGGTCTATTCCATTATATCGTATGCCATAATTCACTTGTCTGTTGATAGATTTTTTTACTTGTTTCCCTTTGGCAGATATTATAAGGTTGCTGTTCATCTTATACAAGTTTTTTTTTCTTTATAGATTTATATTTTTGCTTATCTAGGAAGGGTAGATATGTTCGACTTCACAGAAAAAAAATCACCATTTCTCCACATAGTTGAACTACTTCTCATTTCCACCTGCAGTGCGCAGGAGCTATAGCTGTTCCCCATCTCTATAATATTAGCGTGACCAGTCCTTTTGATTTTAGAAATTCTAGTGGTTATGAGATGGTATCTTGGTGTGATTTTTCATTTTTTTTTCCAGAAATACTAATGATGGTGATAATTTTTCATGTTTTTATTAGCCTTTCATGTATCTTTTTTTCTGAAGTATATGTTTATGTCTTTTGCGATTTTCATGTCTTATTTATTCATTTTTTTGTTGAATAGCAGAAACCCTATATATAGGCAGGAGTCTAATATATATTATTGTTAATATAATATTTATATTATAATTTTATATCATAAAATATACATAATATATAAAGTATGATATATTATTAACAAATAATATCGTTGATATAATATTTTGATAGACACATTTTAAATTTTGATAAAGTATAGTTTACTTTTCTTTCTTTCTTTTATGGTTAATGTCTTTTGGATCCTATCCAAGTCATCCTTGCCTACTCCAAGATCACAAAAATCCTCTATTTTGTTCTAGAAATTTTATGGTTCTGGTTTTTATGTTTAGGTCTATAATCTGCCTTTAAGTCTTTAAGTTTGTTTGTTTGTTTGTTTTTAAGATTTTATTTATTTGACAGACAGAGATTATAAGTAGCTAGAGAGGCAGATGGTGGGGGCGGGGGCAGGCTCCCTGCTGAGCAGAGAGCCAGAAGCAGGATAGGATCCCAGGACCCTGGGATCATGACCTGAGCTGAAGATAGGCTCTAACCCACTGAGCCACCCAGGTGCCCCTAAGTCTTTAAGTTTTGAGTACAGAGCGATTCATTCACTTTTTAAAATACTGATAGATTGTTTTTCAGCATCATTTGACATTCCTTTTCTCATGAATACCTTGACACTTTGGTTAAAATGAATGCTTAATTTTGTTGTGAATGTATACTGTATGGATTTGATTATAATTTAATTAGAAGTATCTAAATTTGGTGGAATGTACAAAGTAATCAGAGTTTCTTCCCAACTTATAATTCACATTTACATTTTTTTCAGGAGAGATCAGAGTGGCCTTTGTCCTATACAACAACTTGGGTCCTTATTTGTCCACGGAGAATGCCAGTATGAAGTTGGGAACAGAGGCTATGTCCACCAATCATTCTGTTATTGTCAATTCCCCTGTTATTACAGCAGCAATAAACAAAGAGTTCAGCAATAAGGTTTATTTAGCTGATCCTGTGGTGTTCACTGTTAAACATATTAAGGTAAGAACATGCCATGGTAAGTTTAGTTTCCACATTGTCTGTATCTGTTACAGCATGAACATGAACTAATTTAATTTTCCTTTAAATTTTCCCATTATTTGACAGATAACAATTCATTATCTATAAAATGATAGTGGTGATTTTTCTTTTCTAAGATGAGGGAGGAGAATAACTCTTGAATATATAAGTGCTTCTGATAAAAATATTTGTAGATGGATTTCTAAATGTATCTCCATAATTAAAAAGAGTTAACAACATGTTTAGTGGAATTGGACATGGCTTCACATATGATGTCACAAGTAATTATGTCTTTGTGCTTGAATATATTTTTAGGTATGTACAAAGATTGTATTATAAAGTGAACAAAGATTTCTAAAGACCATCTTTTCAGAAATTGTTTAGAGTAATTAAATTCTTTATAATGTATGTTACTTTGAAATTAGTTAAAGTCATTCTGAGACATTGATATAGTATTCCAATAATATTAATTTTTTAAAAGCCAAACTTACCTCTAATTAGAGGAAATAAGGAACAATATATATTCATATTTGCCTAGGCTTAATGAAGCCTACTTAATCTGAAAAGAGTGGTGTACGTCTCCACAGAAGTTGGAACAGAGTATGAGGTGTGTTAGATGTAAAGAAAATGCCTATCTGATGTACGTGATCGTAAAGTAGTTATTGGCTTTATGGGTTTTTTTTTCCCCCTCTGTAGCAGTCCGAGGAGAATTTCAACCCTAACTGTTCATTTTGGAGCTATTCCAAGCGCACAATGACAGGTTATTGGTCAACACAAGGCTGCCGGCTTCTAACAACAAATAAGACACATACTACATGCTCTTGTAATCACCTAACCAATTTTGCAGTACTGATGGCACACGTGGAAGTTAAGGTAAGATATATGCCATAAAGTAAAGATATCTAAGCATATGGTCAGGATATCACTGTAAGAAGTCCTAAACCCACAGGCCAGTCTTATTTCAAAGGTTTTCCACTTTCTTATTAATTTTGTTCAAAAATTCTCTGGAGTTCAACCCATATCTTCCTGGATGATTCAAAGAAAGTTTTTTTGTTTGTTTTTTGTTTTTGTTTTTATTTTTGTTCTATTATCAACATAGTTTATAAAATTGCAGTTCACTTATAAAATAAAAGTGTACTTATAAAAATTTCCCTTAGTCTCCATTGTTTTTAGTTCATATGACTAAAGGAGACTATGTGAACAAATCAAAGTAGGACACCAGGACTAGAGGCCAGTGCAGTGGGGTCAAGAACCAGGTCTGACATTAAATACTGTCAAACTGACTCTTGGAAAAGCAGCTATTAATTAACACGATTAACAATGCCTGTAATGCAAAGGGTGTAGCAAATTCTAATATAATGTAATGGGTTTTCTCCATTCACGAAAACCCATTCTAAGGAAAAATCCAGGTGATAGGGTTTCCAAAGTCAGACACACAGCTCATTTGGCTTCATCAGTGTCCTCCTGGCATGACTCTCTGGCTGCCAAGGGTAGGGGAGGGCATGAAGGGGATTTAGATTTCAGATATATTTAGGACATAAAAATACAAAAGGTAGGGGCGCCTGGGTGGCTCAGTGGGTTAAAGCCTCTGCCTTACGGCTCAGGTCATGATCCCAGTGTCCTTCTATCAAGCCCCGCATCGGGCTCTCTGCTCAGTGGGGAGCCTGCTTCCTCCTCTCTCTCTGCCTGTCTCTCTGCCTACCTGTGATCTCTCTGTCAAATAAATTAAAAAAAAAAAAATCTTAAAAATAAAAAACAAAATACAAAAGGTATAAAAAAATACAAAGAGCTTATTAGCTTGTTTATAGAGACTGATGGATTAGTAACAAGAAATTATACACTTGTAAATTCTGTTCTCATCTCCCTGATGTCAGTAAAAAGAGAGGAAGGATTACTCTCCAACATGTTTTCAAAAGTGAAAACTGTGGCACAGGTTTTATCTACTTGGTGTTATTTTTCCAAATAATTTCATCCAAAATTTTCCTTGACACATGAATTTGGATATGGTATGCGTATCCCAGAGGGATACCCAATCCAAACCCTGGTAGCACCTTACAAGTAAATTACCTTAGCTGTGTCAGCATAGTTTACGTTTTGGTTTTTGAAGGACTACATACCCTATTTTGTCAGAGCATTACAAATTGATGTAGTTTAGCAAGACTAGCTATACTAACAAATGTTGGGTTTCAACCTGGAATGTATTAGTGTGGCTTCTAGGATTCTATTTTTCCATTTAGGGAATAAATTCAAAGTCAGAAAAATGGGCCATATTTGAAACAACAAAATATCCTTTTTTGATGAAGGCATGGTATAGCACCCTCTCCTCGATCCATTATATAAGAATTCTGGCTATGACCATTATTACATGTCGACAAGAGACAAAACAAATGCAAATCAGTATTTCCCTGTAGCGGTCAGTCACACAGCATGGATGTCCTGGTTTTCTGTACCGTAGACATCTGCAGGTGCCAATCAGCCGCATTTAGATTTCACAGCATGGTTTTGGCACTTGAGAAACAGAAAACAAACAGACTGAACACCACCACCAGTCCAGAGAGAAACACACTAACCAAACTTGCATGAGACTAATTCCTAAAACAGAACACCAATCTATTTGTGCACAGTGAGAAATCCAGCCACTGGTTGGAATAGATATTTATTGTTTGCTTGTTGTCGCTTTCTAACTGCGCAGGAAGATGTATGAAGGAAACGAGATTATATTGGATAGTTGGGCTTGATAAGCCTGGAAGGAGAGCGAGAGGAGTTAGCTGAATAACCTCACGGCTGTTGCCATTAAGATGTGGTACCCTGATGTGTCGGTCTTCGTTCCAGGCTCTGTCTGTGCCCTGTATGCGCCGTCCTCACTGGTCATCTGTGCTTCTCTGCCGTTCATTGAGTACTTCCTTCGTTCTTTCATCAGCATTTTTGTGTGTTGACATTGAGACCTACACAGTGATTCTGCAATACAGGGAAGGATCATCTAAGAAGGCAGGGTTGGTCAGAAAGGGCTTATCAAAAGAATGTCTCATTCTGAAGGACAGGCAGAATGTACTTAGGAAGGCAACGTGTGCAGAATTTGCACTGACCGCATTCTTGCAACACTTTCTTCACTTTGCCTTGGGTGTACCCCTCCCTCCTGTTTCTTTCCTTCCTGGGCTCCGATCCCTCTTAGCTTCCTCTTCCTCCTCATCGCCATGACCTCTCATTGTTGCTCTGGACCCAAGTGTAATTAGATCTACGATAGGCATTATCTGTTCTTTGCCCCTACGTGATCTCCTATGGCCATGTGGCTCTTAGCATCTCATGATTCCCAGATTTTCTGTCTCCATTTTATTTTATTTTATTTTATTTTATTTTATTTTATTTTTTTATTTGACAGACAGAGATCACAAGTAGGCAGAGAGGGAAGCAGAGAGAGAGGAGGAGGCAGGCTCCCCCCGGAACAGAGAGCCTGATGCGGGGCTCGATCCCAGGACCCTGGGATCATGACCTGAGCCGAAGGCAGAGGCTTTAACCCGCTGAGCCACCCAGGCGCCCCTGTCTCCATTTTTAAACTCCAGAATCACAGAGTCAACTGCTGAGTGGTCATATCCTCATAGACTTCTAATAAAAGCCTCAATTCTAGAACTACACTTCTGGTCTTCTCCCATCTGAAACTTCTCACTAAAGGGCTGCTCTGCCCTTCCAGCAGGCCCCAAGCCCCGCACCATTTTTTATTTGTTTCTTTTTGCTCATACTGCTCACCCAGTCCCAGGAGCATATACTGCAAGATCCAGGATCTGACAAATTCTCAGCATCTTCATCACTACCATCTAGGTTCCGGCCCCTGTCATCTGGTCTTCACTTTCGAGTTACAGCCCCTTAGTTGGTCTCTCTGCTTCTCTCCATGTCCCTCCTAAATTTATACTGAGTAGAGTTGCCAGAGGGCTGCTCTTCAACTGTGAGTCAGACCTTCTCACCAGTTTGATCCAGTTTGAACTGACTCCTTGTCTCAATAAGAGACAAGAAAGGGACCAGATCTTGGCCTCTTCACATCTTTCCACGTCCTTCCCTAGTACTCTTCCTCTAGCACACCTGGCTTCAGCCGTGACAGGCCACCTTGCCTTTCCACAAACACATCAGGTATTAGACCTGAGAGTGCCCTTCCTCCTACCCCCGCCAAACAGCCACCACAGCCAACGTCTTCATCCCCTTTAAGTCTCTGCTTCACTGTCACCTTCTCAAAGAGAAGGTGCCCACTTTATTTAAAATTTCACCCTGCCCACTTTATTTAAAATTTCAGATTACCGCACCCCCACAACATACTGTGAGGAATAAATAAGGCAAGACCGTTTCCTGACCTTGGGGAATTCATAATTTATCAAGGGAGAGAAGGGTGAAGACTGATTTTTGAATGGGATGGTAAGAGAGATTTCATAATTTTAAAGAAGAAAAATTGAACTGAGTAAGTTTGAAGATCTGATTAGCTTTATTAAGGGATTCATGAATCAGGCAGTGTCCCATCTAACAAGTAGAGGGGAACTCCACCGATTTGTACAATATGGAAGGTTTTTATAGGAGAGGGTAGGACAAGGAAGTAATCTATTAGCAAAATTAAGGAAAGGATTGTTTCAGTTAAGGTCATCTTCCCTTGTGGGAAATATAGGAGGTCTTGTTAGGTGGAATTACCTCATCTTTGGGGTAATGGAGAGGACCCATGTGACAGATTACCTCATTGGTGTTTATCAGAAAATTCCTGACTGGTTAGGTAAGACTTACATTTCTAAGGGAGGTTGAAACTGCAATTAGGTTAGGTATTAAGCCCAATATAGGGGCTTGATACCTTTGGTGACTTGGCCTGAGTAATGCCATTTTGGGCCTATGGTTTACTTTCCAACAATAACTAAGTCCTCTTAGGGAGGTTAAAGAAGAAAGGGATTGCTTCTACCTAAAGTGGCAATTTTGCTGGTTAACTATTTCTGACTTTGCTGTACTTATGTTGTCTAAAGAAAAATCTGATTGTCTTCTCTTTTAGACACAAAAGTAATCATTCCAGAGGTATCTGGGTAGCTCAAACATCGGACTCTTGATTTCCACTCAGGTCATGATCTAGAGTCCTGAGATTGAGCCCCACCTTGGACTCCACACCAAGCAGGGAGTCTACTTGGGATTTCTCTCTCCCCATCTCCCTCTGCCCCTCCCCCTGCTCAGGACCCTGTACTCTCTCTCTCACAAATAAACAAATAAAACATATATTTTTAAAGTAATCATTATAGAAATTTAGGTAATTTATACTAAACTGATATAGTATCTATGGTATTTTAAAACCTTTCCTTTGTGAATCAGCTACAGGTTGATTTGTCTGTTGTTCAGCAGAATATTAAATACATCAAATTCAATCATCTATCTCTTCTCTTACTAGTGATTGTTTTTGTGAACATCCTTTGTGGGAGGAGTATTTTAGTTTACAGGAGTGTAAGTTTCAAACCAACTGATTAACATTTCTACTGTGATTTTGTAAAGCATTATAACAAATGCTTTAGAAAAGAGTTGACAGTTTCTATCTCTTTCCTCTACTCAAATTGTAATTCTTTGAGAGATAATTAAAAAATAATAACTTTCTCCTGTTAGTTCAACTTGACGTTGATTTTTTTTTTTTTTTAAGATTGTATTTATTTGTTTGGCAGACAGATCACAAGCAGGCAGAGAGGCAGGCAGAGAGAGGAAGGGAAGTAGGCTCCCTGCTGAGCAGAGAGCCAGATGCAGGGCTGGATCCCAGGACCCTGGGATCATGACCTGAGCTGAAGGCAGAGGCTTTAGCCCACTGAGCCACCCAGGTGCCTTTTTTTTTTTTTTTTTTAAGATTTATTTGTTTATTTGAGAGAGCACCACGA